TCATCTCGGTGAGATACACGGTTAAATTTAATGGAACCCTCTTGGATTCGTTCGCACCGTCGCGCGGGCTACGGCAAGGTGATCCCGTCTCCCCGTTTCTATTCCTGCTTGTGGCTGATGGTCTCTCCGCTTTGTTGAAGGATGGAGAGCGCAAAGGTGATTATACTCCGTTAAAAATCTGCCGCAGAGCTCCGGGTGTTTCTCATTTATTGTTTGCAGACGACACTTTGCTTTTCTTTAAGGCTAAAGAGGAGCAAGCTAGGAAAGTACAAGAGGTGCTAAATACGTATGAAAAAGCTACAGGCCAGTGCATCAACCCAGCCAAGTGTAGTGCTCTGTTTGGAAATTCATGTGCCATTGAGGACCAAGAGAAGGTGCGTGATGTCCTACATATTAAAACAGTAACTTTTGAGGAAAAGTACCTGGGGTTACCTACACCGGAAGGACGTATGTCTAAGGGAAAATTTCAGAATTTACAGTCTCGTCTGCTGAAGAGGATCATTGCTTGGGGCGACACCCTCTCGCTTGCAGGGAAAGAAATAATGATAAAAGCCATTGCCCAAGCTATTCCCACATATATCATGGGAGTTTTCAAATTACCTATGTCTGTTTGTGATGACCTGAACAGAATGGTGAGGAACTTTTGGTGGGGCTCCGCTGAAGGCAAGAGGAAAACTCATTGGTTGGCATGGCCAAAAATCTTAGCTCATAAAACGAAGGGCGGCCTGGGCTTCAGAGATTTCCGTGTTTTTAACCAGGCTCTCCTTGCTCGCCAGGCGTGGCGGCTGCTTATCAAGCCTAACAGTTTATGTGCGTAGGTGCTGAAAGCTAGGTACTACCCAGATGGACGCCTAGAGGACACAGTCTTCTCCGAAAATGCTTCTTCTACGTGGCAGGCCATACAATATGGACTAGAGCTACTAAAGAAGGGCATTGTGTGGCGGGTAGGGGATGGCCAGAACATCCGCATATGGCGGGATCGGTGGGTCCCCCGGGAGCCATCGCGCCAGCCTGTCTCCCAACAGGGCACATGTCGGCTCCGGCGGGTGGCCGAGCTTCTTGGCCCGGACGGGACTTGGCGCATGGACCTACTCCGGCGCTACTTCCTTCCGGCAGACGTCGACGCGATCGCCAGCATCCGCACTTCATCCCGTGTCACCGACGACATCATCGCATGGGCTCCAGAGAAGAACGGTATCTTCACTGTTCGATCCGCCTATCGCTTTTCCATGGACGAGCGCGAGAGTCCATCGGCCACAGCCATGAGCAGGGCACCGGATGGTCGCCGCGCCATCTGGAAGATCATATGGGGGTGCCCTGCTCCCCCGAAGATACGCGTGTTTGCATGGAGGATTGTTACAAATTCACTTGCTACCTGGGCAAACAAATTCTCTCGGCACCTTGAGATTACTGATGTTTGTCCCCTTTGTGGTGTGGAACGAGAGGACGGGTTCCATGCGTTCTGCAGGTGTCCACTAGCTAAGGAACTATGGCATGCTATGGCCTTGGACTGGCCTATACCGAGTGTCGACGACATCCATAATGTCGGGCCGGAATGGCTCTTCACACTTCTGGAGCCACTGGATGAGGCGACACGGATGATTGTGCTCATGATTATGTGGAGGATTCCTTCATGGATACATCAATTCACTCTTGTGCGTGCAGCAACACCCAAGTGGAGATGTGGTCAAGGGAAAGATGATACTCAATGCACCACCGATACTCACTAGAGAGCCAGCTCCTCTCAAGGATGAGCGAGGATGGGTTGCCCCAGAGCTAGGCAATACTAAACTTAATACAGATGGTAGCTTCATACCGGCGACAGGATTGGCTGGAGGGGGCATGGTTCTTCGAGATTCTGAGGGCAAGATCATTTTCAGTGCTTGTAGAGAAATTCGCGCATGCGATAATGCGCTCACGGCAGAGCTAGCGGCGTGTCAGGAGGGCTTGGAACTAGCTCTTTTCCGTACGGACGCGCCCATTAAAGTCGAGCTTGATTGTGCGGAGGCGGTGACAATGATCACAGCTCGTGAGCAGGACCGGTCGGTTCATCGCACCGTCATTGAGGAAATCAGGAGACTGGCAACGATGGAGGGGAGGGAGGTCTCTTTTAGTCTTTGCTGTCGTTTGCAAAACAAAGTTAGTCATGAGCTTGCCAAGTATGGTAGGCGCACCCCTCGCACCGCTGTTTGGTTGCACTCGGGGTTAGACTTTATTGTAAACTTGGCTCTGGCTGAAAAGCCTCCTTGAGTAATGAGAATCCTCTTTTCACCCGCAAAAAAAAAAAAGGTTCTATAAATTGTATACCAACGATGGTGATTTTGAGAAGCTAGCATAGACCAACTAGGGTGTTTTCTTTTGAGTGATGCATCATGCATCGCATACATACATGGAACTGAAAAGAACCATATGAACATAGCTAGCTACTAGAACATGCTTTGCCATGGCCTTTTGATCTCTATGTACGTGGAGCTAGCTAGGTAGGATTGAGAAGCAATCGGGTACTATGGCGTGTGATTATCATAGCAGTGACCTCAATCATGACATTTCCGGCATACCTTGTTTGACGGAGGTTCTTCCAGCTACTTCTTCTTTTTATTGTACAGATCGCCTCAGGACCACACGGTGTCTACTCATACTCCATGAAGTTCCTATCTCGTCATGCCATCATGCCCTCAATCTACAATCAGTAGCCCGGCCTAAATTATAGCTATGACGCGCCGTCTGCGACAGTGATCTGAATGTGACCTGTCCCTCATACTGATGACCATCGACCAATCCACGATCAATAAAACTAGGGATGGCTTCGAATCCTTGTTCGTCTGTAAATAATCTCTTTATTGAATTTTTTATTGTGGCATTGTGTTGCCTAGACAAATTCTACACCTTATCGGATAAAAAGTCGGCATATAGAGAAACAAAGTCACATAGGGTCCATTTGGTTTCGGTCATGGGCGAAAAATTCTATGCGTTGTCTTATTAGTCGGCATATAGAG